TTTCAAATAATATTTTTTCAAGGTAAAATAAGCGTGGATTTTCAATGACTATTTTTTCAGGGGCCTACAGAAGGCGTGTGTTTTTTTAAATAATATTTTTTAAGGCTCTGTAGAAGGCGTGGATTTTCAAAGAATATATTTTTTTAAAACATCAAATCTTTATATTTTAATTTCGAAATTGGCCTTGATGTTTAAATATTATAATATTAAGTAATTATAATCCACAAAAACGAAACATTTTGTTTTAAAAAGCTATTTTTGCAATTTTTTACTTTTCACTTTTATTATTGCTAATAAAAAGAAACAACAACTGCTTTCAATTTTTTTTTGCTGTTTTAATATTTCTAAATATTTTTTAGTTAGTCAGTCTAGTTCCACTCAAACACGCTACTTCATTTTTTTTTTTTTTTTTTTGAGCGAATTGAATTTTTTTTCAAACCGCAAATTACTTAATCAAATAAATGAAGTAATTATGGTGTACTCAAGAGTTGTAAATCTCCCAAGTACTTTGCGAAAAAAGTAAATTATAAAAAAAGTAAAAAGACACAGAAAAAAGTGTAACGACAAAAATGCCCCTGTCCCCAAGAGGGAAGGGGGAAATTCATTACAAGAAAAAAGTTGTGATTTTTATTACACAAAATGACTCCCATTAAAATTTGTGCAAACGGGGGTTTGGGGGTCAGATTGATAATGGCTGTGAAAAAAGCCAAATGTAAACTGACACACATATAATTGAAACAAATGTAGCAGAAGAAAGAAACTAAATTATTTTATTAACAAAATTATTTTTTCTTGTCGTTGTTGGTGACACGCATATGTGTTTTTGGGGCAGGTTTTATAAATTAAGTTGTGTGTCTGTCTACCTGTCTATTTTTTTCTATGCTGTCTGATGTAATAGTACATTTAATTTTGTTCGCATAATTTTGTACTTTTAATAAAAAAATAAGTTGTAATTGAAAGCGACATTTATGTGGAGAAAAACAGAAAAGTAAAAAATATACCATACCAACAAAAGAGTTAAGACAGATACTCATTTTAAAATTGTAACGGACAATTTGGGTCAACACAAACTTACATTTTTTATAAAACATATTTTTTTAATAAACAACACAAGCATAGAGTAATTTTTTTTCCATGAACCTCAATAAGATGGCCTATAAATTTTTCTTTAAAAATCCGCGACAATTGTAGGCATTGACAAAATATCCTTTAAAAACCCCACACCTTATAGGAACCTTGAATGAATATTCATTGTAGGCCTCGAAAAAATATTCTTTAAAAATTCCACATTTTTTCGACGCCTGTTACAGGCATCAAAAAATATTCTTTAAAAAGTCCGCGCCTCTTAGACTCTGACTAAATATTCTTTACAAAATCCAAACCTTATAGGAACCTTGAAAAAAATATTCTTTAAAAAATATGAAACAATATTTTTTTTTTAATATTCTTTAAAAATCGAAAATCAGGAACCCTAAAAAAATATGGTTTGAAAAATGCTTTTATAGCCCTTGAAATTTTTAAATATATTTTAATCGGGACAATAATTGTTCTTCTAAAGTGTTAGTATTAGTATGAAATATTTTTTGTTGTTATTGTTTTTATACCCTCCACCATAGTATGGAGGGTATATTAGTTTTGTTTTTCCGTTTGTAACGCATCGAAATAACCATTTCCGACCCTATAGAGTATATATATTCTTGATTAGCGTAAAATTCTATGACGATTAAACATGTACGTCTAAACGAATTGATATAGATCGCCAAAATTTTACATAAATTTTGTCTGCATGTATGTCAAGTTCGAAGATGGGCTACATCGGTCCACGTTTAGGCATAGCTCCCATATATGGGTGCCCCCCAAATGTTCGGTATTTTGAGGTTCTTGAGCGCGTTTTTCAATCAAATTCGCTGAAATTTGGTACTTTGAGTTCTTATTGGGTAGTAAATCTCCCTAATAAAAAATATATATATGGGTCAATTTTTTCGGATAGTCCCCATATAAGAATACCCCTAATTTTCGATATTTTGGGGTTCTTGGGCGGGTTTTATAACTGAATTCCCTCATATTGTGTACATTTGGTTTTTATTGGGCACCAAATTACTCCAATAAAAATTATAAATATAGGTCCACTTTTTTCTGGTAGTCCTCATATAACGGTACCCCCAAATTGTCGGTATTTTGGGAGTTCTGATTATATTTGACCAACCGAATTGGCTGTAATTTAGTACTTCGAGTTCTTATTGGGTAGCAAATCTCTCCACTAAAAATCATAAATATAGGTAAATTTTTTCGGTTGGCCCCCATATAAGGGTACCCCGAAATTTTGGGTATTTTTTGAGTTCTGATCGTATTTGACGACCGAATTGGCTGTAATTTAGTACTTCGACTTCTTATTGGGTAGCAAATCTCTCCACTAAAAATACTCGAACTGGTAAAAAACAACTCGAACCTGAGGATGATGAAGCATTTAGGCATCTCTCCCATACAATAATACCTCCTGAAGGAAAGAATTGAGATACGAAACTAAAATATTGGGTTCGAAATGGAACTATTTTGGTCATTAATTAGGCATAGTCCCTCATATAATGATAACCCCAAATATTCGCTAATTCCTAGCCATATAATCAATTGTGGTCCCCCCTTTAAGGCATAGCCTCATACTTTAAGGATTTTATACACATTATTCACTCTACCATGCGTAATCAATATCGGTCCACGTTTTAGGGTTTCAAATTTTATGAAGAATACCGATTAAAAATCGTTGACATTTTTATTTGGTGTACATAATTGTTTACATTAATCGGTTTGTAGAACTATCGGTATAGGTGCACTTTTTGGCATGTTCTCTATATTTTCATTTTAGGTACCTTTCGTATACCTATGGTAAAGGGTATCGAATGTTCGGCCCGGCCGAACTTAACGCTTTTTTCACATGTTTGTTTTTATTATTTATTTTCTCACATATTTTATGTTAATTGACTTGTCAGGTCATTTCAAATGCAATTCATGCTATTCGCCGATGTTTTAAGTTTTAACTTGACATAGAACCCATGTTTGTCAGAAATACCTAATACAAAAAAAAAAAAAAAATATGTTTTGAAAAAATTCACAGAATTATTGCAAGGCCTTGAAATACTGCAAAAGTTTATTTGAGATTTTTTTTATTATTTTTTTTTTTTTTGGATTTTCAAAGCTACTGTTCTCTGTTGGTGTCGGCTGGGTGGCTAAATGGTGTTACCAAAAATCAAGTCTAGAAAAAAGTATTTGTAATTGTTTTTAACCAAAACAATGGTCACAATGGAAAAACACAACAACAACAAACCAACACCGACATTGTTTGTTTGACAACAATATTTGACATGTTCAAGGCAGCTGTCATTTGTACAGTAAATAACAAAACAAAACCGTACAAAACAAAAACACAACGACCACGAGGGAGAGGGGGACAAGTGTTACCTTGTCACCAGTCAAAGTGGACTAAGTGGTCCAGGGGCGTTGTTTTTCCATAGCCAACGATTGTTCTGTTTATTTTTTCACAAAAAAAACAGATTTTCCAAAATACTTACGAGAAGATAATAATTCGATTTTTCTTTTATCTTCAATTGACCTTAAAAGCCAATATACATGCCTCCTATGCCAGGAGGAGTTTCACACAGGCTTTCGTTTACCTCAACTACAGAATGTCCCCCCTCCCCCTTCCCCTATTTATAACCATTGCTTTTCCCTTCCCACCATACAAACAATTGTTGGTATTTGTCTCTTATCATTTGTTCTAAATCTCTGTTTAAAAGGCGGTGTTTTGTTCAACAACATCAAAAGTCAAAGTCAAGATAATTTTTAACTTACATTTGCCACTGTCCGTTTGAACACAACTACAACAAAGTTGAAACCTCAAAACAATTTTCAAATTAATTACAAAAAAAATACTCACACTGTAATTTTTTGTTCTAAACAACAGACGTTGTTTCATTAACCCGCTGCAATTTTATTAGCCATTTAGTATTTGTTGTTTTATCGACAAACAAAAACTTCTGAAAACCGGCTGGTTGTATTAAATTACCCGCTAATAAAAAACAACCGTTGCCAAAACGTGTTGGAAATTAAGAAGAAATTATAAATTTTTTAACGGTAGTGATTTTAATTACGTTGAGATTCACTCAGCCATGTGGAGAGAATCAATTGCTAGTTTTTTTCCAAAAGGGTTAACGGAGTTGGATTTTTTAAAGGTCAAAGGAGGTAGATTTTTATTAAGGCTTCAAAAAATATTCTTTAAAAATCCACCCCTGGAGCTCTTCTAAGGCTTCAAAAATATTCTTTAAAAATCCACCCCTGGAGCTCTTCTAAGGCTTCAAAAAATATTCTTTAAATAAACCACGCCTAGAGCTCTTCTAAGGCTTCAAAAAATATTCCTTAAATAAACCACGCCTGGAGCTGTTCTAAGGCTTCACAAAATATTCTTTAAAAATCCACACCTGGAGCTCTTCTAAGGCTTCTCAAAATATTCTTTAAAAAGCCACGCCCAGAGCTCTTCTAAGGCTTCAAAAAATATTCTTTAAATAAACCACGCCTAGAGCTCTTCTAAGGCTTCAAAAAATATTCTTTAAATAAACCATGCCTAGAGCTCTTCTAAGGCTTCAAAAATATTTTTTAAAAATCTACGCCTGGAGCTCTTCTAAGGCTTCAAAAAATATTCTTTAAAAATCCACGCCTGGAGCTCTTCTAAGGCTTCAAAAAATATTCTTTAAAAATCCACGCCTGGAGCTCTTCTAAGGCTTCAAAAAATATTCTTTACAAATCCACGCCTGGAGCTCTTCTAAGGCTTCAAAAAAAATCAGTGCTTGGAACTTTAGTACCCTTCTTCTAGTGTCTGTCTAGTGTCCTTTTAGACCTCCACAAAATATTATTTAAAAATCTATGTCTTGATTTCACAATTATCCTTTTTTATTTTACACAAAATCTCAACACAATTTAACAGAAACAAAACAACAAATTTCACTTTATTAACAATCCTTTGTTTGGACACAGGCACCCTTGTCATTTAAGACATAACCCTCTTTACACTGGCAACCGATGACGCATTGCAGGGTACAAATGCCGGGCGATTGTTTGGCGCACGACAAGGGGCAGGCTGTGCCGCAGGTGGTGAATTCTTGATTTTCACCACACTCCTGGGTGGGAGGAGCTACAAAAGGATTTCTTTTAATACAAAATTCAAATCTAAATTAGAATCTCTGACTTACCCGCCATGCCTTGGGCAACGAGTACAGCCAATACGGCAAACAAAATTAATAATTGTTTGAAAACTTTTGCCATTTTTTTGGTGATGATGATTTAATACCGTGTTTTGCTATCTCTCTAAAGCTGCGAAACAAACTACTTTCCTCCACTGCCGGCAACAATACTTTTTATACTGTCGCCTGGCTTTGTTCGATTCGCTTCGACAGAAAGCAAAAAAAAAAAAAAAACGAAAAAACTCAGGCAAACAAATTAAATTGAACTAAACAATAAAATAAATATTGTATTTAAAATTTTTTGCATAAACACAAGTGTCGGCAGGAGGTGGAGGAGATGTTGTATGGAAGGGGGGAGGTAAAGCGGTTAGTGCAGCTTCGCAACTAGTCAGCAGCAGCAGCTAGATTACGTATGTGTTAACAAATCTGCTTTAGAACAAACAATCGCCACATTTTTTATTATATGCGGGCGATTGCAGAAAAAATGCAGATCTATTTTTTGAGGACTTTAAAGCTATAGGAGCGATTTTTTGAATAATATTCATTAGAGGGTCTTGAATAACTCTAGGCGTGAATTTTTAAATAATAATTTATTTAAGGGGACCCCCCCCCCCCCCATTTTTGGGGGTCAAATTTTTTGTTGATTTAATTCGAATCTACACTGATTCAAGAATGTCCCTACAAAATTTCAAGTAAAAATCTCAAGAACTCTTTAAGATATAGCCGATTTATTGTGTCAACATCAAGTGACGGCTGAAGGGCTTCTCAAACTTTAAACGCGTTTTTCTCTAAACATTTTTTTGAGAATGGCGGGCACGATAACTCAAAAACTAATAACCCAATCGATTCCAAATTTTTACACGTTGCTCTGTGAGTGTGTAGCTATCGTATGAACTAGGATAAAGCCAATCGGTGAAGATCTTCATTATTTTTTAACTTGGTTTTTGGTCAAAAATCGGCGATTTTCCAAAAATATTTTTTCAAATGTCCGCCATTTTGTTAATTTTAGAGCGAGGTCAATAATCCTAGTTCATACGAGAGCCAGACATGTACTCTTTCTAACACCGTTGGAATTTTCGGATTCCGATGTTCCAGTGAGGAGTTATCATGCCCGCCATCAAAAATAAGGACTTTTCTTTAATTACAAAAAACAACAACAAAACAATAACAAAAATTTTTTGTAAATTATTTTTCTTCTCTTTTAAATCTTCAAATTTATATGTGCAAAGTTACAAACCTTAACAAGCATTGGTATTGATTTACCAGCCCATTGAAAATCTTGAAAAATTAAAATCGAGAATGGGTGGGGTTCCCTTAAGTCTATAAGAACTCTATGCGTGGATTGTTTATGGAGGACCATCTGAGATCTGAAGTTAGTTAGGCTTGGATTCTTAAATATTTTTTTAAAGCCTAATTAACCTCTAAGAGAGAAATTTTAAAGAATTTTTTTGGAGAACAAGCATACCCCCAGGCGTGGGTTAAAAAAAATATTTGCTATAGAACCAACTCACCTTAAGGCGTGGATTTTTAAAAACTATTTTTTTAAGTACCAGTTGACCTTCAGGCGTGGATTTTTAAAAACTATTTTTTGTAGTACCAGTTGACCTTCAGGCTTGGTTTAAAAAAAATATTTTTTGTTGATTTTTAAAAAAATATTTTTTGTAGTACCAGTTGACCTTCAGGTGAGGATTTAAAAAAAATATTTTTTGTTGATTTTTAAAAAAATATTTTTTGTAGTACCAGTTGACCTTCAGGTGAGGATTTAAAAAAAATATTTTTTGTTGATTTTTAAAAAAATATTTTTTGTAGGATCAGCTGGCCTTAAGGTGTAGATTTAAAAAAATAGGACCAGCTGAACTTCGCGTGAATTAAAAAAAAACAGATTTTCTAGTTTTTAAAGATTCTTTTCATTTTTTATTCTAAACAGTATCATATTTTAAATTTTTTAAAAATAATAAAATCATTATTCCATTTAACAATGTAACAACAACACACAATCACCCTTGTCATTACGAGCATAACCCGGTTTACACTGGCAACCGGCAATACACTGGGCTGTACAAACTTGAGGACGTGGTTGACCACATATCAGCGGGCAGCCACTGCCACATGAATGAAATTGGGAATTTGGACCACATACTTGGGAGAAGGGGACTAAAAGAAAATACATTTTTTATAAGTAACAAAAAATAATAATAATTACTTCACCCTCCCACCAAACTCACCCGACATGGTTTGTGAAACAAAGATCGTCAACACAGCAAATAAAATTAATAAATGCAGTTTTGCCATTTTGTTTAATTAATAATTAAATAAATATTATTCTAATGAAGATTGAAAGCGAACTAATTTACTACTCTCCGAATTAACAAGTTTTTTATATTACAAATTTCCTTTGTTGTAGTCGAAAATAGAACCTCAAAAATTCCTTTCAAAATATTGATTTATTTAAATTGTCTATAAAATCACGTACGTTAATTGGAGAATAGAGGAAGTTCAGAGGTATATTTGTTACAAAATTTGTATTTTTAAATTCCCCTACACGTTCACGTCAATATAAAAAAAATAAATAAAATATATAATATATAAATAAAAATAAAAAATAAAATATATACAAAATAAAATTATTATACGAAATGTCTCATATAAACAATTATAGTTTAGTTCATATTTTTATATGACCTGCATATGACTGATTGGTTGGCTATTGTTTCGAAATTAAGGGGATTTTTTGAAGTGTTCTAAAAAAACAGCTGAGGAGACAAAGGCGCGATGTTGCTTAATATTCACTTGATTTATTGTTAATGCATTATCAATAAAACAATATAGAGAGATAGGTAAATAAATAAAAATAAAAACGTATATTAACAAATCAATTTTATAAGCTCAGAAATCTTTTGAAAAAATTAAGAAAAAACTATATTCTCCTTAAACAAAAATTCTCCAAAACTTTTCTTAAACAATGCATGCTTGAAAGTCTTAAAGTCGCTCAAAATTATTCTTTGAAAGTCTATGCCTATAGATGTTACAATACTTCCAAAAAATTGTATTTTCATCTGTAGATCTTCCGTATCTCTTTAAAACATCATTAAAAAAATCCATGTCTATAGCTCTTACGGTCGTCACCAAAATGTTATTTTGAAAATCAGAGTCGTTCAAAAATATTATTTAAGAATCCATGCCTAGAGTCCTCCAAAAATATTATTTAAGAATCCATGCCTAGAGTCCTCCAAAAATATTATTTAAGAATCCATGCCTAGAGTCCTCCAAAAATATTATTTAAGAATCCACGCCTAGAGCTGTTCTAGTCCTCCAAAAAATATTCTTTAAGAATCCATGCCTAGAGTCCTCCAAAAATATTATTTAAGAATCCACGCCTAGAGCTGTTCTAGTCCTCCAAAAATATTATTTAAGAATCCACGCCTAGAGCTGTTCTAGACCTCCAAAAAATATTCTTTAAGAATCCATGCCTAGAGTCCTCCAAAAATATTATTTAAGAATCCACGCCTAGAGCTGTTCTAGTCCTCCAAAAAATATTCTTTAAGAATCCATGCCTAGAGTCCTCCAAAAATATTATTTAAGAATTCACGACTAGAGCTGTTCTAGTCCTCCAAAAATATTATTTAAGAATCCACGCCTAGAGCTGTTCTAGTCCTCCAAAAATATTATTTAAGAATCCACGCCTAGAGCTGTTCTAGTCCTCCAAAAATATTATTTAAGAATCCACGCCTAGAGCTGTTCTGGTCCTCCAAAAAATATTCGTTAGGAATCCACGCCTATAACTATTCCAGTCTTCCAAAATCCAAGAGTTTTTAAGGTCCTGCAAAAAATATTCTTTAAAAATTAACACCTAGAGCTTTGATAAGTCTTCAAAAATATTCATTAAAAATCCAAGCCTAGAGCTCTTCTAAGACTCCAAAAATTATTATTCAAAAATCCCCGCCTAAAGCTCCAATAAGACCTCAAAAATATTCCTGAAAAATCTATGCCTCAAAAATATCTTTTAAAAATCCCTTCCTAAAGCTCTCATAAGGCTCCAAAAATTAGAGCTCTCATATTTCCTCAAAAAATATACCTTAAAAATCCACGCCTAGAACATCGACAATCCTTATAAAAATATACCTTAAAAATCCACGCCTAGAGCTCTCATATGTCCTCAAAAAGTATTCCTTAAAAATCCACGCCTAGGGCTCATCTAAGGCTTCAAAAAATATTCTATAAGAATCCACGCCTAGATCTCTTATATGTCATCAAAACATATTCATCCAGAATCCAGGCCTAGATGTTTTTAATCCATAAAAATGCATTACTAAATACTTTTCAGGTCTTCAAAAATAATAAAAAATAAACAACATATTTCTTTTATTTTAAAATTCCTGCATAGAGGTCCGATAGCTATTCGACCTCTATAGTTTACATTTGTCTTTCTTTTGTGAGTCCAATAGAATTGTATTTTATTAACATTTATTTCACATCACATATTCGTTATTTATTATAATTTTGAAATATGAATTCTTCTCATATTTTAACAATCTCTCAATAAGACACAATCCCCATTATCGTTACGAGCATAGCCACCCTTACACTGGCAACCGACAATACACTGTAGGGTACATACATCCGGTTGACGTCTGCCACATCTCACAGGACATGCCGAACCGCATGTGGTAAATTGTTCATTTGGGCCACATCTTGTAGGTGGGGCTGTAAAAATTTTAACTCATCTCAAACATTTGTTTTGGTTTTAAACGAAATGGTTAAACTTACAAGAAACGCTGAGAGAAACAAATAGGGCCAATACGGCAAACAGGATCAAGAATTGTTTTAATACCTTAACCATTTTTTTTGGGCTTGAAGACAACTTTTGTTCTATTAAAACAATGAGAACGAATTAGTTGATTATTCCCAAAGTGGACAGGCTATTTATACTACCAATTTTCTGTGTGCGGATCGCGTATAAAAACCGAACATCCAAATTCCACTAAACAAATACATTGTTGTTTTTTTATAATAAACATTTCACACAAAAAACACGTACGTTTACTGAAAAGTAGCTGTCTAGTTGAGGGGAAGTACAACTGTTTATTCCATAAAGAATTTTAATTTTGAAAACAAAAATTCCAGGAAAGGCAATAATTGATAATGCAGGAAATTCTTTGGAAGACCCCTAAGGTATAGAATTTGCAAACATATTTCGAAATTTCTCTTATAAACAATTATAGTTTAGTACATATTTGTATGACCGGCTGGGTTTTTCTTGAAAATAAGGGGGGGATTTTTGAACGTGATCTAAAAAAACAGCTGACTAGGCAATGGAATGATGCTTGGTATTTACTTGACTTATTCTCGATGCATTATCAATAGCGGAATGTAGCGAGAGATGCGTTAATAATACAACAGTGGGGCACAAGTTTTGCACAATATAAGGCTTAAAAATATTCTTTAGGGCTCTAGACCTAGAGCTCTGAAAGTCGCTCCAAAAATATTCTTTAGAAGTCCACGCCCAGAGCTGTAATAACCCTCAAAAATATTTTTATTAAACTCCAAAAAATATTGCTTAAGCTCTTTCAAGACTTCAAAAAATATTGTTTTAAAATTCACACCCCTAGCTCTTATGAGGCTCAAAAAATATTCATTAAAAATCCACAGTTGGAGCCCTTCTATGGCCTCAAAGAATATTCTTTAAAAATACACCGTTGGAGCCCTTCTAAGGTCTCAAAAATTATTCTTTAAAAAAACACGCTTACAGCTCTTCCAAAACATCAAAACAAATTATTTAAAAAACCACGCCTAGAGATCTTCTGAGGCTTCAAAAACTAGTCTTTAAAAAACACGCCTAGAACTCTTCTGTGGATTCAAAAACTAGTCTTTAAAAAAACACGCCTAGAGCTCTTCCAAGGCTTTGAACAATATTCCTTAAAAACCACGCCTAGAGCTCTTCCAAGGCTTCAAAGAATATTCTTTAAAAAACCACGCCTAGTGCTCTTCCAAGGCTTATTCTTTAAAAAACCACGCCTAGAGATCTTCTGAGACTTCAAAAATTATTCTTTAAAAACCACGCCTAGAGATCTTCTGAGACTTCAAAAATTATTCTTTAAAAAACCACGCCTAGAGCTCTTCCAAGGATTCAAAAAAATATTCGTTAAAAATCCACGCCCAGGGCTATTTTTATAATCAAAATTAAGATATCAATATAACATAAAAATTCGCATCTAAACGTGAAAATACAAATAATATTTAAATATTATTTTGTTTATTTTTGTTTATATGCTAGTGCTAGTGAGATAGGCAAATAGAAAAAAAAATAATAATGAAAGCGTCAAGGTCGTTCAGCAACAACACATATTGAGACTACAGCTGATAGCAAATAGAAACAATAACAACAACATCGATTGATATTTCAAACAGACTGAGAATCTGTGAATATTGTTTGTAGTTTCAGACGTTGTATTTCTTATCGCCATAGTACAGTAGAGATTATTGCAATTTGAGGGTGTATTCGAAGATGAGTGAAGGAATTTTTGGAGGCCTTTCAACAGTTCTAGGTGTGGATTTTCAAATAATATTTTTTTTAAGTCATAGAAGAGCTCTAGGCGTGGATTTTTAAATAATATTTTTCAAAGCCTCAGAAGAGTTCTTTGTGTGGATTTGTAATTAAAATTTGTTGAAGCCTCAGAGGAACTCTAAACGTGGATTTTTAACGAAATTCTTTTGGAGCCTTAGAAGAGCTCTGGGCGTGGATTTTTAAATAAATTCTTTTGGAGCCATAGAAGAGCTCTAGGCGTGGATTTTTAAATAAATTCTTTTGGAGCCATAGAAGAGCTCTAGGCGTGGATTTTTAAATAAATTCTTTTGGAGCCATAGAAGAGCTCTAGGCGTGGATTTTTAAAGAATAGTTTTGAAACCTTTTTATAGAAATTTTTTATAAGCCTTAAAAGAGCTCTAGACGTGGAGTTTTAAAGAAATTCTATTTGAGCCTTAGAAGAACTCTAGGCGTGGATTTTTAAATTATATTTTTTGAAGCCTCAGCAGGACTCTAGGCATGGATTTTTAAATAATATTTTTTGAAGCCTCAACAGAGCTCTAGGCGTGGATTTTTGAATACTATTTTTTCAAGCTTCAACAGAGCTCTTGGCGTGGATTTTTAAATAATATTTTTTGAAGCCTCAACAGAGCTCTAGGTGTGGATTTTTAAAAGTCTAGAAACTTTGTGAGACCTGCCTTACTACTTCTCTTGGCGCCAAGATTGCCTCTAGTTTTTTTCTTCTTCTTGTGGAAAATAACAAATTATTATTACACTCCATTAATGCCCACCCTTTTATGGTTATTTATTCTGATAACGGTAGAAAATTAATTTAACATTAATTATTTATTTAAAACTAGAATTCAGTTGTTCGTCATAATTGAATTTATAACACTTTATTTAGAACAACAGCCAGCCAGCACCTCCATTGCTACCATTACTACACTTTGTATTATTGATTGAATACCCCAGCCCCAACCAACCCACATTGAAAGTCGATACCATACGAATAAATAAATATGAAAGTACTTAACTCTAATCTGGGCAATTGCTACCAAACCGATACTAATTATCAACACCTTCTCCTACACCCCGTGAGAACTTTAGAACTTTGCATCAATGGCCACTAAATCATATCGAAGACAGGCATTAACATTAAACGATAATATTTCTTATTTGTGTGTGAGCTATGTGTGAGTGTGTTTGTAAGCATATCGAATGTTTTACACAGAAATTGTTGTTATTAATTAAATAAATTATAATGGACGTCAACGAAAGATATTCGCATGGAAAAATTATTATTCTATGGACCACACACTCCGCCACAGATTCTTTGATATGAAGGTGCTACAAAAAAAAAGAGGTGCTACCCCACATACATAATCGCTTTTTCACATGCAAAATAAAAGAAAAAAAAATTTTAACCAATTATTCTATTGAATTTCGTTCACCATTCATATTTTATGTAAAAACAACAATAACAACAACTATGACTTTAAAATGCAATAACAATTATCGTGAGAACTATTTAAAAAGAATACAAAGATCACCAAGAACAGCAGAGCCCAGTTAGTAGTAGACTATCATTATAAATCTTGGTGTTTGTTCTCGGTCTCGTGAAGGTCAAAATTTTCAAAATCGTAAGATTAAACGGCAACAAGAACAACAACAACAAACACATCACTTTTTAATTCCACTAAGTAGAGCTTATTTATGTTTATTTGTTTAAATTGATTAGTTGTGCAAAAAAAATTAAATATTCTGTAAAGATTATAATTTAGTTGTTTTATTATTTGTTTGGGCGGAGATTTGAGATGCTTAGAGGTGAGCAGGGACTGGAGGAGAGCAACACTAAACTGGGTGTGAAGTCATTATATTTGGCACAAAGATTGGACATGCAATGACGGATAAAAATCTTCACACGGTCGCAAGACTTCATAGGGACCAAAGGTGCTCTCAGATATTCAGGGATTTTCATGGAGAGCCATTGAAAGGTTTAGAAGATCATCAAAGAATGTTTTTTCAGAGCTCCCATAAGGCGTGACTTCTTTAGAGAATATTTCTCGGAGTTCCTATAAGGCGTGGATTTTTTTAAAAAAATATATATTTTTTCAAGCATCCACACAAGGCGTGGATTTTTATATTTGTTTGGGCGGAGATTTGAGATGCTTAGAGGTGGACAGGAACTGGAGGAGAGCGATAATAAACTCGATGTGAAGTCAATTTTTTTGGCACAAAGATTGGACATGCAATGACGAAGAAAAATCTTCACACGGTCGCAAGACTTCATAGGGACCAAAGGTGGTCTCAGATATTCAGGGATTTTCTTGGAGAGCCATTGAAAGGTTTAGAAGATCCTCAAATAATGTTTTTTCAGAGCTCCCATAAGGCGTGACTTCTTCAGATGATATTTCTCGGAGTTCCTATAAGGCGTGGATTAAAAAAATATATATTTTTTCAAGCGTCCACACAAGGCGTGGATTTTTATATTTGTTTGGGCGGAGATTTGAGATGCTTAGAGGTGGACAGGAGCTGGGGAAGAGCGATTATAAAATGGGTGTGAAGTCATTATTTTTGGCACAATGATTGGACATGCAATGACGCAGAAAAATCTTCACACGGTCGCAAGACTTCATAGGGAAAAAAGGTGCTACCAGAGATTGAGGGATTTTTTTGAGAATCACTGAAAGGTTTAGAAGATCCTCGAAGAATGTTTTTTCAGAGCTCCCATAAGGCGTGACTTTTTTAGAGAATATTTCTCGGAATTTCTATAAGGCGTGGATTTTTTAAAAAATATTTTTTCAAGCATCCACACAAGGCGTGGATTTTTATACCCTTCACCACACTGTGGTACAGGGTATTATGTCTTTGTACATATGTTTGTAACATGCAAAAGGAAAGGAGATAGACACATGGTTCCTTTTGAGAATATTCATAGAATCACTTTCTAAGTCGATTTATGCATGTCCGTCCGTCCGTCTGTCCGTCGGTCTGTCCATGTTAAATTGTAAACAAAGTAAAGGTCGCATTTATGATCCGATTTGAAAGAAATTTGGCACATGTCACTTATTTGGCCCAAGGACGAACCCCATTGAAATTGGGAAAAATCGGTTCAGATTTATATATAGTTCCCATATATATTTTCGTCCGATTTAAGGTAAATGGTGCACCAAAGTCCCTCTATATTTTACGATTTGCACGAAATTTGGTACACAGTACTGAATTAGGTCCAGAATGATGTGTGCCAAGTTTCGAGAAAATCGGTTCAGATTTAAATATAGCTCCCATATATAGTTTCGTCCAATTTAATGTAAATG